CTGTCTTCCTGTTTTTTAATCATTTTTTCCTTTTGGTTTTCTGATTGTTTGATTTCTTCTAGCCTGTGTTCTAATTCACTGATCCGGTCTTCAGCTTCCCCTACTCTGCTTTTTAGACCTTCCAGTGTGTTTTTCATTCCTGATATGTCATTCTTCATTTCTTCCTGTTGGTTTTTCATTCCCAGCTGGTTTATTTTCAACATTTCTATGTCTTTACTCATGTTGCTCATGTCCTGACACATGCTGTTGAGCTTCCGCAACATCATGGTTTTAAATTCTAGTTCTGTTAACTTGCTTAACTGCACCTAATTTATTTCATTTTCTGTAGAGGTCTCTTGTTCTTTCCTTTGGCTTTTGTTTCTGTTTCTCACCATTTTGGTTATCACAGTGGGCTTTGGAGTCTGCCAAGTTTTCCTAGTGGGTGTTGGTGTTCTGCTGTTTGTGGCTCCCTCTCCTGGGTTTGGATGCACCAGGGAGGACCCACTTTAAACACTACTGTCAAGTCTTAGCCTTTCTGGTTAGTGTTGCATGCCCAGGGAATGGTAGTTATCCTCTAGCTTTTTTTTTTTTTTTTTTGCCTGGAGGCTATTAGTAGAGGTCACCTGCAGACCCTTGGTTTCTGAGTTGCCTGGAAAACTCCCTCAGGTGCTCAGTGTATGAGGATTTCCTGAGAGTGAGGCAGGTGTTCCTTGTTAATGGGCCTCAATTAGCATTTCAATGGCCACCAGGTGGGGTTTAATCTCTGAGGGAGGGCCACCTCCTCTCCCCAGGGCCCTGAGAAAAAGTAAAATGACCACAGTCCTGCGTGGCTGCACTCAGCGAAAGCTCTTAGCACCCTCCAAAACCCGAGTGTCCCCACACCGTTCCAGTACATTCTGCCTTCCCTCCGTCGGATCCCAAGGTGAGTGGCTGCTGCCAATTTAGCCTCTGTCCGGACCCTGCGTCCTGGAGCCACCTGGGACTTTTAACCCTAGGGCACTGCTTCCAGCCAAGGGCGCTGCGGCTGTGGCACCAGGTGACGGGGTTGCACTCAGCAGAAGCCCCAGGACTGAGCCGCGGTAGTGGGACACTGCAGAGGTGGCAGTAGCGTCTAGCACAGTCCCCTGGTCCACGCGAGTCCACACAGCGCCCGCTGATGGCTTAGCATGCAGAGTTCGCAGGACTCAGCCTTGGTAGCAGAATCCCGCCAAGTCCCCTGTTTTCCGGGAGTCTGTGTGGCTCCAGCCGAGAGCTTAGCAGGCTACAGCAGTCCCAGAGCCCATGCAGGGTGGCAAGGGAGGCGGTGGGAGTAATTTCCCGCCGAGTTCCCTGGTCCCACCGAGTCCCCTGGTGCCCGCAAGTCTGTGGGCCTCATCCATGAGTTTAGCAGGCTACAGAGGTCCCAGGGCCCATGCAGGGTGGCAAGGGAGGCGGTAGGATTAACTTCCCGCTGAGTTCCCTGGCCCCACCGAGTCCCCTGGTCTTTGGGAGACTGTACATCTCCAGCCGAGAGCTTAGCAGGCTACAGAGTTCCCAGGGCCCATGCAGGGTGGCAAGGGAGGCGGTACGATTAACTTCCCGCCTAGTTCCCTGGTCCCACAGAGTTCCCTGGGGCCCTCGAGTCTGTGCGGCTCCAGCAGAGAGTTTAGCAGGCTGCAGAGTTCCCAGGGCCCATGCATGGTGGCAAGGGAGACGGTAGGAGTAACTTCCAGCCAAGTTCCCTGGCCCTGCCAAGTCCCCTGGTCTTTGGGAGACTGTGCGGCTCCAGCCGATAGCTTAGCAGGCTACAGAGTTCCCAGGGCCCATGCAGGGTGGGAAGGGAGACGGTAGGATTAACTTCCCGCCTAGTTCCCTGGTCCCACAGAGTTCCCTGGGGCCCGAGAGTCTGTGCGGCTCCAGTGGAGAGTTTAGCAGGCCACAGAGTTCCCAGGGCCCATGCAGGGTGGGAAGGGAGACGGTAGGAGTAATTTCCAGCCGAGTTCCCTGGCCCCGCCGAGTCCCCTGGTCTCCGCGAGTCTGTGCGGCTCCAGCAGAGAGTTTAGCCGGCTACAGAGTTCCCAGGGCCCATGCAGGGTGGGAAGGGAGGTGGTAGCAGTAACTTCCAGCCGAGTTCCCAGGCTGCTGCGGACCCTGGGCTCTTGGTCCCCTCTCGCGTCCTGGCAAGCCTACCAGGATTGAGTGGGTGTTTCTGGTTAAGTGGTCCTCCAAGATGTCTTTTGGCTGCCCTTTCCTGATGATTTGCCTTTATTTTCGTTGTAAATCCAGTTTGGTCTTGGGAGATGGTCTGTGTAGCTCCATTCACTTCGCCGCCATTTTTTCTCTCCTAGCCTCCATTTTCTAATCAGCTTAAATTATTTAATGTATGTTTTTAAACTCAAAATTAACTGTAATTCCAATATGGAACCCTCTTAATGCTTGGTGAATTACACTATATCATTTTGTTTTGATTTCCATGGTTCCTCACATACTGCCACATGTATCTGGAACTTGAAATTATTTATCCATGTCCTGTAATTCCAAAGAGAAATTTTTTCCTCGTATATTTTTAAACTAATTGTTATACCCTAAAGATACATATATTTTCCACACAAATTATTCCTTTAACTTTTCTTCAAAGTCTCTTAACTTAATAATTCTAAAATGAAGTCAAATTACAGTGAAAGCAAAGGACACAAATTGTTATCTGTGTCTCATGTCTGGTAGAGATATCCTGTGACCATTTAATTTAGAGATTAAAGGTGAAGAGCACAGAGGGGTTGACATGAGCACGTTTAACTGAAGCTAAAGTTAAACTAAAGCTGTTGGGACTCTGGAATGAGCCCAACTTACTTTCCAAAGAAAAGAGAACTTCTTCACATATACATGTTTAATCAATAGCCAAGCAACCTAGAAAAAAATTAATTTTAAGGAAGTTATTTTTATTCAATGACTGTGTAAAAAGACATATTTTTCAAAGAAACTGGCCTTAAACCTGGTTATCTTCCTCCTAATCAGAGAAAAATAACTGTCCCAAAGCATAGACGAGAGAGGACATTTTAAAAAACATGTCACTGTAGCAAAGCAACTTTAAACGTCACTTTGCTTTCTCCCTTCCCTTTCTTCTGCCAGTGGCATGGTCATACTATTACATCCATCATGCTTTCAAAGGAAACCACATGAACACCATGCCCATTACATTATGATTACCTAAGTTTTCAAGAACAGAACAGACTTTGTTGGATTTTAAGGGATTAGGAAAAGTGGATTCATGTAATTTTTACAATGACATGTTCTCAGCCCAATGCCATATCCTATTCCAAATCAGCAAGAGATTGTGGTGAAAGCTGGTAGAAAAGTCAGATGTGAGTGTGTGTGTGTGTTTATGTGTGTGCGCAGATTATGTACAGTACTTTAGTGAAAGATGATATTCAGACCCCACTCCTCACGATCATCAGCCTCTTCCTTTCAGCATTCTTCACAGGGACAGGCATTAATATAATAAGTACATGTGAGACATGACTTGGGCCAGCCAGGCACATATTACTTGGTGTATCATTTTTTCCCTGTTACCTCACTCTCTAGTTTTCTCACTATTCTACCACTTGCCAAATTTCAATCTCAAGCACAGATGTTGAGAAAATGAATTCTGCCTACTGAGCCAAAGAACTTGCCCAAATATTAATAGGCATTTATCTAGTAACAGAACCTGAGACTTAATAGAGGAGGACTTGGATTTCCAACACTAATGTCTAAACTTGGCAAGTGTTTCATTAAAAAAAAATGTTTCAAAGTGCATTGAGTTGTTGTGATGCATAGAAAGCTTCAACATGCTTATGCTCTAGTCACCCAAAATGTCAATTCCAATGTTGATTATAAATTGTCTCTATTACAAGTGGTTGCCTCTGCTTTCTAATTTACAGCAGTTTGCTCTTCTTCTCTTTGCCTCCAAGATTCACAAATAAAAAGGTCTCTAAATGGATACTATTTAAAGGATCTGAAGAATTCTGAGGTTGTCAAACTACTGCTTCAGCGCTCTCCATATTAAATGTTATTTCTATAGCCTCAGACAGTCTAGGCAAATACAAGTTTGGTTCTGATTACATAACTATGCTACAGAAGTATGAAAAACAATATTGTCACTAAAAAGTCCAGGTGCTTTAACAGTTTGATAAACTTTAGCCATTCTGTCATCAGCACCCCTAGCTGTGTTGCTTAGCAACGTTTTAATTCCAGAAGAATTGAAGGAGATGCAATCCCGGTGGACAGGGAAACAGAAATAAGAGGGATGTTGACAGATTATCTGAGTCATTTCTTCTAATACACTGTGAAGATCACTAACTTTTTTCATGAATGATAAATGGACTGTACACAGATCAATGGGTTCAACAGTAAACTGGAACCAGGCTCCATGTCTAAAGAGATGCAGGATGAGAGACCCAGAAATTTCCTCATTACGATTATTTGGTATGTGTTTTTCTAAGGTTCTATGGGAGGACATTGATCTGAGCACTCAGTCATCCTTTGCCCTTTTGTGATGTCTGCTAATAAAAATGATTTTAGAAATGGATACTTTTCCCTTTCTGTCACCATGCAGTTGCAGCCAGGTGTCAGTAGTAATGCAGGGTAAATGGCTCTCTGCCAAAAATTTTAAAATCCAATATATGTCCATGACCCTTCCTTCTGCATCTACTACCCCCCATCATAAAAACCCAGGGAGGCCCATACAGGGTGGGGATTAGAGTGAAAGGCTGGGAGAGGAGAATTCACTTGTGAATCTAAATGCTATTCCTATGGACACTGTTGAACTTTCCAGGCAGCCCTGACAATGCCCACCTGTGACTGAATGATGTATTTAGATAACCAGATTCCCTGGGAGAGGAAAATTGTTTTCTGTGTCCAAAGTCTACTTATTCCAGCAGCCTGCTTTAGTTAGCTCCTTATCTTTCTGAAGAACATTTTATGTTGCTTATTGTTTTGGTAACTAGTTGCAAAGGTTATGCTTGCTAATTTTGTCTAATTGCATTTTATCCTTCTATTTACAGGCAGTTGAAAAGGCAAAACCTAAGAATAATCCTGTGAAGTAAGTTTTTTTTTATTAGTTGTAAATGTTAATTTGAATGGACCCCATGCATGTGAAAAAATAAGGCCATAAAACAGACCTTGGATTTTGAGTTAATCTCTATTCATAACAATTTAAAAACAAACAAACAAAATACCTCCAGTAAGTCTGGACCAACTCCTCCTAAACCCCATGGTCCTGATGCCAAAGTGCCCTGAATTGTAACCTTTTTACATAAATTAATATATGCCATCCATGAATAGCTGCCAAATACTATCATAATCATATTCAATACATAGTACTGGGTTTTGCACATGGCAAAATTGTTGCATTTTAAATTGAAAACCTTGGACCTATGACAAAATTGTAAATGGCTGAAAATGTGCCATGTGATTTCCAGCCAAGTGGGAAGGTTTGGCACCTTGGCATCAAGGCCTTGCAATTCTGTTAATGAAAAGCTCATATACTATATTTAAACAAAGGTCTTTCTAGCTAAAAGAGAACAATTTCCAAAGTATTTAATGATATACTCTCACATACAGTACACCTTAGACATTCTGTCTCTTCCTAAAGGGAGAATATCAAATTTAGAAAGATGTCTGTCTTGTCCCATGGGTTTGTGACATCTTATTGCAGTGTTATGTTTCATACCAGTCTCACTAGCCATGTGGCCTAGAGAAGATCTGCTCTATTTGCTGGGTTACTATAGGTCTAGTAATATCATATTCCTAAGATCTATGTGTTAATTTATCTCAGCTGACTTCCATTATAGAGGGTACCAAATGCAGAAATGGGTAGTGCATTTATTTTTAATAGTTTCTGGAAGAATGAATCTGCTAATGCTAATAACAAGAAGGCTGCTTGTGTTTTGCAAAATCATTGACATTTTCAAGGCACCAGGATAGTGTTCAGCATTCTATTAAATGTAGTCTAATTAGTTTTCCAAAAGGTTTGGTAAATTTCATTTTAAATTTAATTTTTCTGAAGGCACAGGATATTCTTTGTTGGGCTTCGTAGTGTCTGGAAATATATCTGTAGTCTAGAGATGTATTGTGCTCTAGTTTTCCTATGGAAGTAAATTTATTTTATTTTTATTTTTATTTATTTATTTTTGCTACACATGTTTCTTTTTTTCCCCCATTGACACCATCCTCCCCCTCCCTACCCGCCCTGTCCCCAGCTTTGTTGTCCATGTTCGTTGGTCATGCATACATGCATATAAGTTCTGTGATTTATCTCTCCTCCCACCCCCTCTTCAGGGGAATGTCAGTCTGTACCCCACTTCCACGTCTCTGGGACTACCCCGTTCCTCAGACTGTGATGTTCGTTATATTCCACAAATAAGTGAGATCATGTGATATTTGTCTTTCTCTGCTTGGCCTGTTTTGCTTAGGATAATACTTTCCAGGTCCCTCCATGTTGTCTCAAAGAATAAGAGATCTTTCTTACAGCTGCATAATACTACATTGTGTATGTGTACCACAGCTTTTTTATCCATTTAACTACTGATGAACATTTGGGCTGTTTTCAGATCTTAGCTATTGTAAATAGTGCTGCTATGAACATGGGGGTACATATATTCTTTCTGATTGGTGTTTCAGGCTTCTTAGGGTATATTCCTAGAAGTGGAATCACTGGGTCAAATAGAAGTTCAACTTTTAATTTTTTTTTTTTTTATCCTCATTCGAGGACATTTTTCCATTTTTTGTGTTCAGGTAGAGTGGGAGGGAGAGAGAGGAAGAGAGAGAGAGAAACATCGACGTGAAAGGGACACATCGAGTGGCTGCCACCTGCACAACCGACCAGGGCCGGGGACAAACTGCAACCGAGGTATGCGCCCCTCGCGGGAACAGAACCCGGGTCTCTCAGGACCGCAGGCCGACACTCTAACCGCTGAGCCAGACCGGCCAGGGCTCAACTTTTAATTTTTGAGATAACACCATAGTGTTTTCCATAGTGGCTGCACCAACCTGCGTTCCCACCAGCAGTGGTCTAGAGTCCCCTTTTTTCCACATCCTTGCCAACACTTATTGTTTGATGAATTGTTGATGGCGGCCATTCTGACAGGTGTGAGATGATACCTCATTGATGTTTGAATCCGCATCTCTCTGATGATTAATGGTGTTGAGCATTTTGTCGTATGTCTTTTAGCCATTTGTATGTCCTGTTTGGAGAGGTGTCTGTTTAGTTCCTCTGCCCATTTTTAAATTGTGTTCTTTGTATTCCTCTTGTTGAGTTGTATGAGCACTCTATATATATTGGAAATTAACCTCTTATCTGATGTTTCATTGACAATTATGCTCTCCCATACAGTGGGTTGTCTTTCCATTTTGGTAGTTGTTTCTTTTCCTGTGCAGATGCTTTTGAGTTTGACGTAGTCCCATGTGTTCATTTTCTCCTTTGTTTCTGTTACCTTAGGTGATGTATCAGTGAACATTCTTTTGTATATGATGTGTGAAATATTGTTGCCTCCAATTTCTCCTAGGATTTTTATGGATTCATGAGTCATATTTCAGTTTTTTATTCATGTTGAGTTTATTCTTGTGTATGGTGTAAGTTGATGGTCTGTTTTTTTTTTTTTTTTTTTTTTTGCATGTACCTGTCCAATTTTCCCAACACCATTTATTAAAGAGGCTGTCTTTACTCCATTGTATGCTCTTGCAACCTTTGTCGAATATTAATTGAGCATAATGTTTTGGGTCCATTTCTGGGTTCTCTGTTCTATTTCATTGATCTATGTGCCTGTTCTTGTGCCAGTACCAGGCTATTTTGATTACAGTACCTCTGTAGTATAACCTGTTATCCGGTATTGTCATCCTGCCTACTTTGTCCTTCTTTTTCAAGATTGCTGTGGCTATTTGGGATTTTTTTTGGTTTCATATGAATTTTTGAAGTATTTGTTCTAGTTCTGTGAAGTATGTCATTGGTATTTTGATGGAGATTGCATTGAATCTATAGATTGCATTGGGTAGTATGGACATTTTAATGATGTTAATCCTTCCAATCCATGAACAAGGTATATGCATGTACTTTTTTTATACCTTCATCTATTTTTTTTTTCAATGTCCCATAGTTTTCTGCAAATAGGTCCTTTATTTCTTTGGTTAAGTTTATACTTAGGTATCTTAAAAAGCATTTGACAATATCCAGCACCCATTTCTGATAAAAAATGCCCAGCAATTTGGTAATAGAGGGATCATATCTTGACATAACAAAGGTTATATATGAAAACCTTCAGCCAACATCATACTAAATGGACAAAAACTAAAAGTATTTCCCTTAAGAACAGGAACAAGACAAAGATGCCCACTTTTTCCACTCTTATTTAACATAGTACTGGAAGTCTTTGCCATAGCAATCAAAGAAAGAAAAAATAAAAGGGATCCAAATTGGAAAGCAGAAAGTGAAACTGTCATTATTCACAGATGACATGATATTATACTTAGAAAACCCCAAAGAGTCCATCAAAAATATACTAGACTTTATGAATGAATTTGGCAAAGTAGCAAGATACAAAATTAACGTCAGGAAATCGATGGCATTCTTATACACCAATGATGAATTCACAGAAAGAATACTCAAAAAACAATCCCATTTACCATCGCAGCAAAAAAATTAAGATACCTTGGAAGTAGTTTTAGAAGCTGCATTTTATTCTGGTTATTTGGTTGGGGTTGAAATGTTCTCTGCAGCCTGATTTCCATCTATGCCCAGAAGGCTTCTCTACTGGGAGCCCATGGCAGGTGATCTCTGTGAATCCAAGCATGGTGCTAATGAGGCCAAGGCCAGGACTATAATCCCTGGGTGGGCCATTAATTTTTTCCCTAGTCTGACTGCACCCCTTCCTTTGGTGTATCCATGTGAAGATGTGTGCCAGGACACAAGGGATGGGACAAGTGCTGGAGGTGTGTAAATCTAGGTCCTTGATGGGACAAAGGCCTTCAAGTTCAAGCCCTCTCAATAGGAAGTGAGTCCCAAGCTCTGTCTATGCATGCACAAGACTGCCCATTGGCAGTATGTGGGGCTGTACTCTAGTGCCCGAAAAGTGGGAATAGCTTTTTCTCTGCTCCTTGTGAGGATTTGGCCTTACAAATAATTATATATTTATGAGATCTTATTAATTCACAGTGCATCTTTAATGTCTAGCACTTTAATAAATATTCAAAAGAGAAAGGAAAACTAGAAGAGCCAAACAATTAGTAATAGAATAGAACTTTATACATTTCAATATATTTGAATAAAAAATAAATATATAAGCAATATTGAGAATTTGCATAGTAATAAACCTGTGTCACAGTCATCTGGTAGATGCTTAGAATTGTTTTCTAATTTGATAAGATACTGTTCTCAGTGTGAGTTTGGGTGTCCTGTTGCACTGAGACTCTCAATACCTAATTCACTTGCCTAGCCACAATCATTGGGGCACTTTAAGTAGAGAGACTTCTTGAAGACCTGAACTTGGGGCCAGAAATTCCAGAGCATGGTTCAATTACACAACATGAAAGCAGAGCAGAGTGGAGTTTTAAAATGGTCCTCTTTCAAGAATTAACATAATTAAAATGTCCATACTACCCAAAGCAATCTATAGATTCAATGCAATCCCCATCAAAATACCAACGACATATTTCATAGAACTAGAACAAATACTTCAAAAGTTCATATGGAACCAAAAAAGACCCCGAATAGCCACAGCAATCTTGAAAAAGAAGAACAAAGTTGGAGGGATCACATTACCAGATATCAGGTTATACTACAAAGCGACTGTAACCAAAACAGCCTGGTACTGGCACAAGAACAGGCATATAGACCAGTGGAACAGAACTGAAAACCCAGAAATGGACCCAAGGCAATACGCTCAATTAATATTTGACAAAGGTGGCAAGAGCATACAGTGGAGTAAAGACAGCCTCTTTAATAAATGGTGTTGGGAAAATTGGACAGCTACATGCAAAAAAATGAAACTCGACCATCAACTTACACCATACACAAAAATAAACTCAAAATGGATAAAAGACTTAAAT